ATATATATATATATATAACCACTTAATAAATGCCAAGGAACCCGAAATTCAAAACACTGTCTCCGTGTTTGCTAACTTGTTTGAAGACTTTACAAATTCCTCAAATATGTCGATTTTTTAAGGAAAACATATTTCAAAATGCCTACAAATTTAATGCGCAAAACTGCGATATTTCTCCGAAAGTCACACAATAGCCCAGTGTTCAATGAAAACCGTCAAAAAACAAAAACTGGTACCTGACATACTCTTTGGCACAAAATTATCAGCGGTGTCACGTATTTAACAATAACTTTAACAAATCACATCTCGAAAGTGGGCGCTTACTCGCAGTCAATTTTGTGTGATTAACTTTCCCAACTTGAATCGGACAATTTCTTGCAATTTTAACCAGGCATGGTTTTGTGGTTGTTGTTGTCCTGGCTGCCGTCGGGGATCGTGCGGCATTCCGGAATTCATCAGTTCCATCTACGTGAGAACAATCGAATGAATACTCTGATTTCCTAAACGTGGGCATGTTTATTCCGCAAGACTGTGGCATTGCTCGACTCGGTCGTATAAAACGTCCTTCTTATATACCAGTTTTTATATCCAGGTGTGTGGTTACATGCGAAAATGAGAAAAAAACAATCGTTTCACGTCGGTCATTAAATACGACTGATTTGGCTGACGTATGGCCTCAGGTTGTCCAACTAACTGGGTGAAGAATGCCAAAATATCAGTCATATGTCCACCGCGTGACCTATATCATTCGAATCGCATGTCTAACTGTTGGACACACCAACCATCACAAGCAAATCACGCCCCGCCCTTCAGACACACAATACCAAACTGTAATGACTGGCTTTGGAGTTGTAGTCAAAGTGACATTATCCGTCCGAAACTCACCCTGAAAAGTTACCGAAACTGGTAAATGTGATAAAAAAAACTTCCGCTTATGGGGACAACAGATTTGCTTTATTGCAGCACACCTCAGGTATTCCTGATAAGCTTCTTGTTGTAAAATATTTTTATTCCAATGTTTGGTTAGTAGAAGCCCTTTGAGAATACCGGTTAACCCAAATTAGTAGTCCTCTAAAGTACAATAAGACTGGTCTTTTATTTACCACCTAACGAGAGAATGTAATAGATCGATAAAGATCTACTAACAAATGGAATATCTGTTCACCAAAATGGTCAAGGAATTACATACGGAACTTCCACGCACAAAAAACTGGGGAAGTTTTATGGTGTCCTGTGGATGGAAAGTTTTGTTTCGAAGGTGTGAATGGAGCTCCCACCCCTTCTCTTACCACTTCATCATTTGTCGACTTTTTGCTTTTGCTCCAGACAGCTTTTTTCAGTGTGACATGTTTCTCACCCAGTTTTAATGCTTGCTTACAGGTGTACAAATCCTAATCAATTAGTAGTTTAAACTTGTGCCATCACAAGCGTAGCCAACATTTGCATTTTAAACAAGGTATTCAGCCGAAAAAATCAACAAACATCAACTTGAATGTTGTCCACACATCAAGCACGGATAGTTAGAATTCCACATTGATTTAAACAATATATGGTTACCAAAGGATAATTGCCTAGCCAGATGATGTAAAACCGAGTTTTATTTCACGACAGTTGAGTAATTTATGTATAGATACCTCGCAAATCAAGGAAAAAATGACTCTCTTATATTTCGGGCAACCAAGATATTTTCGGTAATCTTTAATGTCAGAGTGAGAAGTAATTGATTCACCATTCTCGCCACTTGATCACTAACCGATAAATTACCTCATTTCGACCGGTTGACCGAATGTGTTTGTAGGAGGGCAGTCAAAAGATCTTAGCGTCGTTATGCCATTCTTATTTTCCGAAAGTGCAATATCATGATTTCTGCTCCTCTTAATTATGTACCTGAGGCACAGTTAACGGCCACACACGTTAATGCAAACCAATAACGTTCACACAAAATGACCCTACTCAGAACTAATAACAACACAGCAAACTACATACAGGCTTTTATCCGCACAGAAGTCACTAGAACTTGTAGCGTGGTTTCCTCGATTGGTCATGTTTCCAGTAAATTACACTATATTTGAAGAATGAAAAACACTGTGTGTGTGCGAAAGCAGGGATCAGAAGACGCTGAAGATTTCCTGTACCTACTGAGTAAAGTAAATATCAGAAGGCCACTTGGGAGATTAGTAAATCTAACCTGACTTCATTATTTACTATTTACTTTTGATCTCGATTTGTTCTACTCATCTGAACCAGCCATTCACCTAGCCACAGAAGCCATTCCGTCCGACACTAGTATATTAGCCTGTGCGCTTTTGAGCAAAAATACTCAGCTGAGCTACGTATGCATGCACCGCTAATCAGGGTCACGAGAACGTCCTCGGAAGGGATGACCTCAATCCACCTCACAGATCCAACATTCAGTCCTCCGTTTTCCGGTGTGCGGACCTTGATACTGCACTGCGCCGGTGAGTAACAGGCTTATGCAATTGCTGACGTCATTAAGTGGGTAGTTAAGATTTGTTTTTTTTAAACAGTACCGTAGACTTTCTAACCCGATTCCTTATTTTGTTATTCGGGATTGTCAAACTTAAGCATGATTTAAAGTTCCGTATCAAGAGTCTCACGGGAGACCAATTTTAAAGCTAAAAGTTAGCGAGATTCTCTATGTCAGGACCTTGTAACCTGTCAGTTTTAGATATCATGCAGATTCTTACAGCCTGTAGTCGAGTTACGGACATGCCAAACTGGTGCGAGGTAGTCTTTTTCTTCCCCCTTAAGTGTTAAACCTCCTGAAAAATGGGATCACGGTATACATTCTGCTGTATCTTTCAGCCACCTGCTCATAATTGGAACCGTGCACCGTAACTGAACTGGTCAGTTTCGAATTTCAAGGTATGCTACTATCTTGATACTCTGCAGAAACGTCATCAAATTTCCAGTTGGTCATTTCGAAAGTGAACAAAGTATATGGAAATGCTGTAGGAAATGGTTTCATGCATTAAACAATGAAACCTAAACAAAGCCAGCAGCTACTCTGGAAGCGAATCAACGTTTATGTTCCAAGTAAGGGGCAACAATCACAGAAGTGATTTTTAAAAGTCCAAAGATGTTTGGAAGGTTTACATGTATGGCGTTCAAATCCTGATTTTCACTTGGTGCCTCGTACCCAATTTGCTGCTGAAAAACAGATCGTGGTAGCTTAGTCTGCTACCATGTATATTCTCGCGTGCTGCGAAGCATTTCATGTCGGTCGTACAACGAGGTGTCTGCTTTACCCGAAACGTCAAATTGCTTTCTTTCACTGACGCGGATCAACCTCAGGCATAATCGTTTCGTACCTAGCTGGAACCGCCCAAATATTAGCTACAGGTGTGGCTTCTTAATTCGTCCGCTAGTGCTCAACAGTCGATCGTAATTTGCGGGAACCTGAAGGCCATATATGGCCTAGGTAATTGTCCCCGTTCTACGCAACCCTGAGCATTGGATGTAAAAATAAGTCCCACGAACCCTAGACATACTCTGGTCAAAGTCATTCCCTTATCCAAAGTGTTCATGACAGTACGTTTAGGTCAATGGAACATGATAATCGCGAATGTTTTTTGCATTCTATGATGTTCTTGCATGTCACACAAATTTCTCTTTATCATCCAAATGATGAGTAGTAAAAATAGGCATTGTTGTGTGCAGTATACCTTCATTTAGAAAAAACCAAATCACAGTTGCACAAAACCTAATTAATATTGATTTATTTTGCCCAAATGTTCCTCTCGATAGATAAAAGTAGTTATGGGTTTTAATATGTGAAAAAGTTGAATTAGTATCGACTGGTGCATGAGTCGGATAGTAACACTATAAACCTACATACAAGAAAGTCACTTCCTCAGTGCATTCACGCACTCCTAATGCATGCTGACTTACACGAAAGATCTTTTGAGGCCGTGCTGTTCATGACTCAAGCCCAAGCTTCCGAATCGACTGTTATCCCTGTTTGTAAGTTAGACTTACACTATTCTGGCAGCATGCGCACAGTAGCCACCTGCTAGTGGCGAAAAATCAATAAATAGAGATGCCTCAACGCTCAAAGTCTTAATCTCATTCAACAGTTACTTTGACTCTTCTTTTTAACCCTTCGTAATTATGACACGACGTTATAACTTCTGACCAGGATATTAAAACTCTGTATTTTTCGAAGCGACGTAGACGTAAGTTCCCAAGCAGTAATTTCTCCACAGAATTGACTGCTACACGGCTGCCGTGTAAATTAATTGGTTACAGAAAGAGAGTTTTGGCTCCTACTTGTTAAATTTTGAAATTAATTTAATGTGCAGTTTACGTGGAGGCAGCTGATCGGGGAGCTAATTTGAATTTCACACGGTGGGTACTTTCAAGTTTCAGATATGCTTACTATATCATACCCACTTCCTAGTTGGCATAAAGTACCATGCTGGTAGAGCAAAATAAATTCATTGCTCGCTTAAGTGTCCATCTTTTTTAGCGACGGCCGATGAACAAAAAATTAATAGTTTAACTCGATCAACCAAATGAAAACCACAGAATTCTTCAAACCAGTAGAACACTCATTTGCGTGTTCGTCAAGATGCTTTGTCTTTGTGGGGTTTGTGGTGCGGAAGCCTTTTCTTGGATCGGGCTAGGTTCCTTACCTGTTTTCTGGAAAGTTTCCTCGACGGTTAGATGACTAAAAAACAGACCGTTTCTCCGCTGATAATTCCCTAAGAAGTATAGATCTATGTTGAGTGTAGATTGAGCGCTTTCCTTCTAGGAGAAAACGTTTTTGAAACCCTGTGGCTCATTTACATCTGCAGCATCCAATAACACGGACAGCTTGGTTTCAAATTTGCGGTCATATTTTGTTCGGTCCACATACCTGGAGCACTTTGGTGTCGGAAATTTATGACCCCAAGTTCACTCCAAACACTATTCATGAATAACATACGACTGGTTGTAATATTACGACAGGTTGCAAATGAAATTCTAACAACTCTTTGTCACGTGAAATTGATGAAATTAATAAAAGTAATCTTTCGAAGGGAACAAGAAACCAAAGGGATATTAATCTCTGGAAACTTTGATGTACGTGTAACCAACTCGGTCCGAGAGCTGCTTCGCGAAATTGGATGATGAACAACATTATTTATTGCGCTAATTTGCACGTGCCCAAAAAAATCAATAAGAATGTTCTCAAAGTACCCTGTTGGACTGATGAGGGAACCGACAAATGCCATAAAGCATATAATCCAACTCTCTTCTGCTTGAGAAGCACAAAAACAATGGATTTCGGTTTCCGAATGCTTGTTGAAACACAAGTAAAATCTAATCGTTTGGTTGTCTGTCCGCCATGATTTCACTGTACCTTACAGTTGAGACTGCACGTAAAGGTCGATCAATTTTGAACTGAAGTTATTAACCAGATGTTCTTTTTCGATTTCTAACGTGAGAGACTGTGCTGATGGGTGTGGTATATGATTTAATTATAAAACGGTCATTTAGAAAAGTTAGTAT